TCCCCAATAGCGACCGTCCGTCGGGACCAGTCGACCGTTCGTCTGATCTTGCTGTATGTTGCAGAGGGTTGCTCTTTGAAGTGACACTAAGTGGAAGGAACCTAAAGAAAGGAGGGAAGGAGAAGACATTTTATGGTGCAATTGACGATATTAACTAAGATTCAAACTATTACCCTTGTAATGATCGCAAACGCCAATGAACAGTTGGCATAGATTGAACCCACACAGTGAGGAAAATTAACCGATACTGAAAAATAGTATAGTAAATTTTACCATATTCTGACGCAGTGATCCGAATATGATAATTAACACGAACCTGTATGGTAACATTTACCATATTGTGATAAAAATCACCTGAGTTCTGGTGAATACCACTATAATTCTGGTCATTTTCACTAAATATGAGTAGTATCACTGTGTAAAAAACCAAGTGGACATTTTCTGTTAATATGGGAGGAGAGCAAAAAGTAAATAAACGTACGATTAATATTCTTTTGTTAATTGGACCGCGTTTAGCAGCAAGGAACCAAGCCACATCAGCATTGGCCAAATTTAACTGGGCAGTTTAATTTTTTACGAGAGAACGTTTGTGCCACTTTCTTTGAATATTTTAAGGAATTTGCTCGACTTTGCGCGGAAAATTCACTGAAATAAGCACACAAATCCGCACTACCATTTTCATGAAAGAAATTAAATTGTACAATTAATGGCAATAGCCGATGTGGCTTGGTTCCTTTCTGTTTAAAACGGGTCAGTTTATCTTCGGGTTACATTGATCAAATCTTTCGGTTACGTCGACGAAACCTTTGGATTGATAATTTGCAACCTCGTTGTTTAAAATCAGATGTGAGTCGCCAGGATGGAACATGGATCTCATAAGTCGCAGGCCAATGCTCTAGCCTTTGCACAAATTACAACCTCTGAGTGACACCGAGAGAAACAAGAATACATTAGTGTTCATAGTAGGGCAGTTAGCCGCTCACGTAACCCTTGAAGCACCACCAGAAAAAGCGACAAACGCAAACAAACACAGTATGGTAATAGAGCAAAGGAAAGGTCGCGTGTTGATGACGGCGCGGCGCAGAGATACAACTATTCGTACTCGATGGATGTCCGTGTTGCGTCTGCAAACTTGAAGGCGCGATGGCGCGAGGCGTGAACTTGCAATGCTCCGCTCTGCGCTGCCGATAAGGTGTATTTCAACAAATAACAAACATGTTGACCTTTTATAAAAGCTTATATCTGTATGGGAAAGCAAAGTCAGTTATGTCGTTTCTGGAATACATTAAAACGGCTGGTTCTTATCTGCTGCATTAAGTCATTAAGTGGAATATTGGGCTGAGGGGTAAAATAGTAGTAAGACCAAGTTATTTTTTACCGAGAACAAGATGTTCAGGAGGTTGTCCATAAACCACGATAAACACTTTTTCCGATATTTTGCCCTCTCTTTAGTGCGATGATTTGGTCTAGGTTTAGGATAATTTTGACCAATTTAAT